GGATTTCTTGACTTTATATTTTACCGAATCTCGTCTACACATGTTGCTCATCATTACTTTATACATTATACATAAAGCTTTTGATTAGATTTATTATTACAACCTAACGTCAAAATTTTCTTCTTATTTTGTTGTAATATAGAGAGTTTCGCATTATGATTTCATCAACTGACTTAGTTTGCAATTCGTGTGGAGCAATTTTAGAAAATATATACTGTAGATCGTTGAATCGATATGGATAAATTGAACCTAAATGAAAGGTTTAACAGTAGGTGGTCTGCAACCAGTGTTTAAAATTAGATTTTAAAATTATATGTGATATACATTTATTATTTAAATAAAAGTTGCGGAATTAGTATACTAGTTGCAAATTACATTTTTAATTAATAATATATTTGCGGAAAAAATTTAATTTATGCGGAAAAAAACTTTTTACTTATAAAAATTTTATTTAATACAAATTTATTTCATATAATTTTACTTTATAAAATATAAACAAAAAAAAAGAGAAAAAATTTAACTACTATTTTTTTCTAGGACTACGTTTCCATAATTCATATGCTTTCTCAAAATTAAATTTATCTAAAGAAGGCCCATTCATAACTATCATTAAATGAGAATTAAGTGTATTTAATTTCATCTGATTACGAAGTTTTGTTTTAATTAAATTTTGTTGAGAAAATATACGTTCAACATTTCCATTTGAAACAGGAACTATAAATGCTAAATGAATAATTTGAGTTAAATTAGGATATTGAGTAATAAATTGAGTAGTACGAAAAATAAACTCCCATCCTTCAACAAATTGAAAAGTTGTAAAATTACATAAAATTAATTTAGCCATTCGCCATTCTTTAATAAGCTCAAATTTATTAATAAGAGCTGAAAATACTTGACCATTTTCAATTCGATCTATACCATAATATTCTGCAAGATACGCAATTTCTTCTTCTCCAAAACTACTCATTTGTTGTATTGTTGTTGGAACTTGTTTAAAATCAAAATACGCATAGCATTATATAATACTGTATTAGGAAATCGGTATTTCAAATTAATAATTATAGCATTAGCAAATTCTTTAACAAAATTAGGAATTACATCAACTGAATATTGTATACAATAATCATGTAAATGTGTTCCTAATGTTGGTTCAATATTTTCATCAGGATATCCAATAAATTCAATAGTAATAGAATGAATTGTTTTGTTTAACTCTTGATGAATATCTGAAAAAGCTACATAATCGGATTGAAATATTTTACATAATGCTGAAATTATTGATAAAATATCTGCAAGAAATTTTGTTGCTAAAATAAAATCAGCATCAAGTTCTTCTAATAAATTTTGAGCACGTTGTTGTGATTTAGCTGTAGAATTATTTATTACATCATTTTAAAGTGCATCTATTACAGAAAAGATTATCTGGTGCAAATTTGATACAGAATTAGATAAAGAAAGCCATTGAGTTGAAACAACTTGCAAAATTGCTAATTCTGGAGATTCTTCATCTTGTGCTTGAAATATTTGAAGATTTTGCCATCAACTATGAGAATTAGCAAAATATGCATAAAGTTCTTTAATTGTAATTTCATAATCAAGAAAATAAGGTACATCTTTTGCTGAATCTTTTCCTGCTAAAGCTAATCGATGAGCAATACAATGACAATTACTCATAAAAGGATTTAACTTTTTAAGTTTTGTAGCAACGCCATTTCGAACTCCTTAAATAAAATTATAATAATTAATAATTTGCTAATAAATAAAGTTAAAATATATAATACAAACCTATCATTTTACTATCGCCATCACTTCCAAAATGTAATAATTTTGAAGGTTCTAATATTTTTGCTAAAAAAAATTGGTTAAATTATTCATAATACCTATTGCATCTACTTCTTTTAATTCAATTAATCCTAAATACCGAAGTACAGGAATATTATTTGCTACATGTTTGCTTACAATTGCACAAGTTTTATTATGTGTAATTGTATTACTTTCATCAATTAACAAACTCCAGGCTGATGATTTTCTTGTTTCTTCTAAAACTGATTCCTCAATTACTGCTGCAATTGCATGTAAAAATGTAGTTCCAGAAACCGAATTAGTATATTCTGCATAATTTGAAGAGTTTTCAGAAAAATCCGTAACTAATTTTTCTTTTTTTGGACCAAAAAATGGAGGAGTTAAAGTTTGAACTTCACTATCATATACTAATTTAGTTTGATTTTTTAGATTTAAATTCATCAAATTAATAATATCTGGGTAAGCAAAAATTGGAAGATGTTTTTGTGCACATAAATATACACATCGCATCTTTGAAATAATTTCTAATTTATTATAATCAGCTTGTGTAGTAAATCCAGTAAACAAATCTATTTGATTTGCTGGTTGATAATAAGCTTTCATCGCATTTATATGACCATTTATTTTAATATGTTGATTAAGATAATCTTTTCGAAAAGTACCACAACCTTTAACAAAAATATTGTCAGCAGTTGGATATTTTTCACACCAAATACAAAATAAAAGAGGCTTTCCATCAATAATACGTCGGTCTAACCATGGAAACTGTCTTGGCCATTCGGGGTTTCAATCGGTTCTTTCATGTTTTTTGTCATCTGATTTTTTTTTTTTTGAATTTTCTTTAGCCGGTCTTGGAGAAAGTCTACTATCTTCATTTATATTATCGTTATGTTTTTGGTTTAATAAAAAAGCTTCTTCACCACGAATTACAAACTTATCCATAATTATTTATAAAATAATTTGATATCGCAAGCTATTAAATTCGACTTTGAAGATATTTTAATTCTATAGATAAGTTATTTACTTTTCAGATGTTAGCGGTTCTAATTATTTATATCGATAAACAATAAAACTATTCTTTATTCAAAATAAATATTACATCATAAATTACTTACTCTTATAAGTTTAATTATTTATCAATTTCATTAATTAATTATTTAACATGATTAATCAAGATTACTTCAAAAAGATAATAACCGGTTCTCTTATCTTAAAGAATTTTAATAATCTTGTTTATCCTTTAGCTCCAAATCTATTATTGTTCTTATTTTGCCGATTGTTTTATAATAAAATAAATGCTATTGCTATATATTTAACTTTATATTTTGATAATGATAACGATAACAATTATTTAAGATTATAGCATCTCGATCTTTAATAATAAGTAAATACCTTATATATTTAATATAATCCTCTAGCCAATACTTCTGATATTACTAATACTTCTAGCATTACTAATATCTTAATCATCACTAATTCTTCTAACATCACCAATTTTTCTAGCATTAATTTTTTAGTATACTAATTCCTTTAGTATACATATATCAGCAAATTTTTGATAACGAATAAATGCCTTATATTTATACTTAAATAACTATTTCAGGTTCAACAAAAAACGAATTCGTTTTTTGTTCAAGAAAAACTTTGCTACTAAAATCTGTACAACATAAATAAGACTTTTACTACCTTGTACAAATTATGACCACATATTTATTAATAAACTCACATAAACTTATTATTATTGCTCAATCAGATGACTTTATTAAGGATAAATGGAAAAACATATGAGAAAACCTGTTTGCTATCCTAATCGGGCTCTATACAACACATAGGTAATATACTATCTAGAGATAACAATATTTTAACCAAAACGATCCAGCTGCATCCTCATATAATAGGAAGGTCATCGAGAAGAAAACAATATAAGTAAAGGAGAATCGGTTATAAAGCTCTAAAAGGGTGACGTGAGATTGGTCATCCAAAACAGGAGGTTCTTGCGAAGCCTGAATCATAAGTAATAATAGGTCTTTGCACTGCTCTTGCAGCCACAGAGCCTAAAATTTTACTATAATGTCTTTGCACTGCTTTGGCAGCCGTAGAGCCTTTTGTCAACCTAAACTGTCAGGCCATTACCATATTGGAGGGAAGGGAGGGACGATAGAGCCATCCTATACTAAAGGCAAGCTATAGCAAAAAGAAAGGTACCCTCCTCTAACGACAAAAAAAATACTTTAAATAAATCCCACGATTACTACAAAAACCCGCTCTACCCTCCTGACTTCATATGATTATATACGATACTTCTATTATTTCCAGTTTAATTTACTTCTTACTCCTTAATTTATTACTAATTTGCTAACGCCTTAGCAACATGAGAATAATCATATGCAAAGTAATCATAACCAGAAAATACCTGCACCTGACAAGATAACCCAGGAATAATTTCAAAACAGCCATAAAAGGCTAAAACAATTAATTCGAACATGTGACCCATAAAGTCATCTGATTTCGCAATAATGGTCCTTC